ATTATAGACTGTCAGTACACTCACCATACTTAATAACCATTACTACAGTCTACATTATAGACTGTCAGTACACTCACCATACTTAATAACCATTACTACAGTCTACATTATAGACTGTCAGTACACTCACCATACTTAATAACCAGTACTACAGTCTACATTATAGACTGTCAGTACACTCACCATACTTAATAACCAGGCTACAGTCTACATTATAGACTGTCAGTACACTCACCATACTTAATAACCATTACTACAGTCTACATTATAGACTGTCAGTACACTCACCTACATTATAGACTGTCAGTACACTCACCATACTTAATAACCAGGCTACAGTCTACATTATAGACTGTCAGTACACTCACCATACTTAATAACCATTACTACAGTCTACATTATAGACTGTCAGTACACTCACCATACTTAATAACCAGTACTACAGTCTACATTATAGACTGTCAGTACACTCACCATACTTAATAACCATTACTACAGTCTACATTATAGACTGTCAGTACACTCACCATACTTAATAACCATTACTACAGTCTACATTATAGACTGTCAGTACACTCACCATACTTAATAACCAGTACTACAGTCTACATTATAGACTGTCAGTACACTCACCATACTTAATAACCATTACTACAGTCTACATTATAGACTGTCAGTACACTCACCATACTTAATAACCATTACTACAGTCTACATTATAGACTGTCAGTACACTCACCATACTTAATAACCATTACTACAGTCTACATTATAGACTGTCAGTACACTCACCATACTTAATAACCATGCTACAGTCTACATTATAGACTGTCAGTACACTCACTCAGACTTAATAACCATTACTACAGTCTACATTATAGACTGTCAGTACACTCACCATACTTAATAACCATTACTACAGTCTACATTATAGACTGTCAGTACACTCACCATACTTAATAACCATTACTACAGTCTACATTATAGACTGTCAGTACACTCACCATACTTAATAACCATTACTACAGTCTACATTATAGACTGTCAGTACACTCACCATACTTAATAACCAGTACTACAGTCTACATTATAGACTGTCAGTACACTCACCATACTTAATAACCATTACTACAGTCTACATTATAGACTGTCAGTACACTCACCATACTTAATAACCATTACTACAGTCTACATTATAGACTGTCAGTACACTCACCATACTTAATAACCATTACTACAGTCTACATTATAGACTGTCAGTACACTCACCATACTTAATAACCAGGACTACAGTCTACATTATAGACTGTCAGTACACTCACTCATACTTAATAACCATTACTACAGTCTACATTATAGACTGTCAGTACACTCACCATACTTAATAACCATTACTACAGTCTACATTATAGACTGTCAGTACACTCACCATACTTAATAACCATTACTACAGTCTACATTATAGACTGTCAGTACACTCACCATACTTAATAACCAGGACTACAGTCTACATTATAGACTGTCAGTACACTCACCATACTTAATAACCATTACTACAGTCTACATTATAGACTGTCAGTACACTCACCAGACTTAATAACCAGTACTACAGTCTACATTATAGACTGTCAGTACACTCACTCAGCTTAATAACCATTACTACAGTCTACATTATAGACTGTCAGTACACTCACCATACTTAATAACCATTACTACAGTCTACATTATAGACTGTCAGTACACTCACCATACTTAATAACCATTACTACAGTCTACATTATAGACTGTCAGTACACTCACCATACTTAATAACCATTACTACAGTCTACATTATAGACTGTCAGTACACTCACCATACTTAATAACCATGACTACAGTCTACATTATAGACTGTCAGTACACTCACCATACTTAATAACCAGTACTACAGTCTACATTATAGACTGTCAGTACACTCACCATACTTAATAACCATTACTACAGTCTACATTATAGACTGTCAGTACACTCACTCAGCTTAATAACCATTACTACAGTCTACATTATAGACTGTCAGTACACTCACCATACTTAATAACCATTACTACAGTCTACATTATAGACTGTCAGTACACTCACCATACTTAATAACCATTACTACAGTCTACATTATAGACTGTCAGTACACTCACCATACTTAATAACCATTACTACAGTCTACATTATAGACTGTCAGTACACTCACCATACTTAATAACCAGTACTACAGTCTACATTATAGACTGTCAGTACACTCACTCAGCTTAATAACCATTACTACAGTCTACATTATAGACTGTCAGTACACTCACCATACTTAATAACCATTACTACAGTCTACATTATAGACTGTCAGTACACTCACCATACTTAATAACCATTACTACAGTCTACATTATAGACTGTCAGTACACTCACCATACTTAATAACCATTACTACAGTCTACATTATAGACTGTCAGTACACTCACCATACTTAATAACCATTACTACAGTCTACATTATAGACTGTCAGTACACTCACCATACTTAATAACCAGGACTACAGTCTACATTATAGACTGTCAGTACACTCACCATACTTAATAACCATTACTACAGTCTACATTATAGACTGTCAGTACACTCACCATACTTAATAACCATTACTACAGTCTACATTATAGACTGTCAGTACACTCACCATACTTAATAACCATTACTACAGTCTACATTATAGACTGTCAGTACACTCACCATACTTAATAACCAGTACTACAGTCTACATTATAGACTGTCAGTACACTCACCATACTTAATAACCATTACTACAGTCTACATTATAGACTGTCAGTACACTCACCATACTTAATAACCAGGTACTACAGTCTACATTATAGACTGTCAGTACACTCACCATACTTAATAACCATTACTACAGTCTACATTATAGACTGTCAGTACACTCACCATACTTAATAACCATTACTACAGTCTACATTATAGACTGTCAGTA